GGCTGGGGGCCTGAAGAGGGCGCGGGGCTCTAGGTGGGCGGGGCCTAGGGCCTGTTTCCCGTCGTCCCCGGCGCTGCGAGGTCCGGCAGGCCCGGGTTACCGGCCGAAGGCTCGTGTTTTCTCTTTTGCTGTCCACTGGCACTGGGGTCCCTGTGTTTGGGCAAGAAATGGAAACTTTTTAAAAAGAAAAGAATTTGTGCGGCCTGAGAGTGCGTGACCTTCTCTCCACTAAGGCATAGTTAGGAGCTTGAAACTTCTTAGAAAAGCCAGACCGTTGTTTGTTTTCACAGCTCCGTAGTTGATATGGTGAAAGCAAACCAGCTCTCCTGTGAGGATAACAGCATGGAGGAGCTGACGCATAAAATCAAGCAAAAAAGCCCTTCGGAGTATTGGGTTTAAATTACGGATTCAGTGCTTGAAGAAGGGGATCTAGCTGAGAGGGTGGCCGTAGGATCACTGTCATTGCTGGCTTTAGTAAGTGGCGTGCTGGTGACCTGGAGGAGGTCAACATGATGCTCACTTGAGTAGACAAGCTAGTTCCGTTGAAGGCTGGTTGATAACCACAGACGTCCCCAGAGTTTCATACTACCGGAACATGAATTCGGATGCATCATTACTACCGAATTGTGAGGGAGAAATTGGTTCCTTTTTCGTTCAGAAGTAAAACTTAAAGTAGTACTTAAAAATTATGGAAGTAAAAGTAATGTCATTAAAGCAGTAAACACTCCTGGGAGAGAATGTGACACAAAGTATTTAATGTTAACTCAAATTTGTCTTTGAAACTACACACCTGTAAAAAGAGCCATTACAATATAAGGGTTCTCATTATGTGATAACATTCACATGATGGCTGTGGGTGTCGTGGGGAACTAGCTCTGTTTCTGCTTCTGACTCTCCCAATTACCACCTTTAGAATCTTAGGCAAGTTCCCTAACATCTCCAAGCTTTAGTTTCCTTGTGTGCAGAAATGAGATTAAAAAAAAATGCAAGGATGCAACAGCATTTGGTAGGGAATGGGCCTTTCATAAATACTGGTTGTTGTTGACTTGCATAGGTATTGTCAGTAGTCAGGTGACTAGAACCATACACAAACTTTTTTTTTTGACACCTTTATTGTGGTATGGCTCCTGTATAGTAAACTATGCATATTTCAAATGTACAATTTGATGAATTTTGATAGATGTGGACAATACCCAAACTCTTTTCTGAACTTAGTGTTATGCCCTGAAAACACATGAGAATCATCTTCACAAAGGCCAGTAACCCAGAGGACGTCGACAGTCTGGCTTTTATCAGTTGAAGGATAGTGAATAGAAACTTTTCCCATTTTCAGGACCCTCCGATATGTTCCAGAGGAATCCAAAGACAAAGTTATCTCAGATGAAGATGTCCTAGGAACATTACTGAAAGTTTTCCAGGCTCTATTCATAAATGATTTCAATAAACAATCAGATATCTTGACTGTGCTTCCAGAACCTGTTAAATCAAAATATCAAGACCTACTGTCAGTTCAGCATCAGAGGGTGAAACATCTTGAATACAGTCATGAAGAGCAAAATACCTTTAAACCAGAAGAAATTCTTTACAAGACATTGGGTTTCAGTGTTGCCCGAGCAACTAGCTCATTGATTTCTGCTGGGAAAGGTGTCTTCGTTACTAAAGGACTGGTACCAAAAGGCGCGGTTGTATCTATGTATCCTGGTAATGACACAATTAGTACTTTGCCAAGAATTTCTTATACACAGATAAATATAAGTTCAACAAAATACCTAACCCCGTAATCCTTAGAGTAAGGGGTTGAGTTGGAAACTCCGATTTCCACAGATTTTTAAATCCTGATTTGGAAATTAACTGCTTGTAAATTGTCTTATGTGTTAGAAAGTATCCTGGAGTATTTGTTGGGATAAATGTATTTTTCTTTTAAGGACATTTTTCTAATCAATGTTTTAAATTAGGAGACTATAGTATGGTCTACTTTGGTAAGACTGATCACTTAAAAAGCACGAGGGAATAAGTCAGTTTGGCTTAGATAATAATTAAAGGTAAAAAATGATATGGGTTAAAACATGAAAGATAAACTTTAAACCTATAGATTACTGAATAAAGACCTTCCTGCCACTTCTAAACTTATAAAGTAAAGCAGCTTCTTTGCAAAACATCATTGACTAGAATGCTCAGTAGAATATGTAATTTGTTAAACGTATTATGTAGTATAGTGGAAAGTATGTGTGAATGTTTAAGTCAGACCTATGTTTTTAAAAAGTCATTCTACTATTTTCTGATTTCATGTCCCTAAGCAAAAGAGTCTCAGTTTCTTCCTACACAACTAATGTAACTCTGTAAAGACTAAACAGGACAAACCAGCAACAAATAAATTAATACTAAAATAAATTTAATAAATAGATTAACCTTCCAGGAATGTAGGAAGCACCCTGTAAATATTAATTTTCTCCTTTCCTCCATTGCCAATGGAAGGAGAAACAACTTGAATGTCAGACTCATGTATTCCCATGTATGTCTACATTATTTAATTGACTATTACTAAAATACATTTCTTAAAAAGCTAGTTGTTGTTGTTGTTGTTGTTGTTGTTTGGAGGAGGGTAAGTAATTAGATTTATCTCTTTATTTTTAGAGAAGGTACTGGGGATTGAACCCAGGAGGACTTCATGCATGCCAAGCATGCTCTCTACCACTTGAGCTATATACCCTCCCCACAAGGCTCTTTAATAAATGTCAACTCTCATTCTACTTTAAAAAATAAAAACACAGCTTTGTAAAACTTAGCCTAAAATGTGGTGTTCACGTTTTTGTTAACCAAATTGGTCATATTTTACTTGGCTCAGTGGGCAAGTTGGTTCTGTGCTCTACCTGCTATTCGGCATTCTTTAATGAGGGAAAGTAGCCACAGAGAATGGGATGGTCAAGATTGAAGGTGAAATATTAGAAGAAGGTAGAGAAATTAAAACAAGTTCTCCCATGTTATGTTTATGTTCCAGAGAAGGCTTCTTATCATGATGTTTCTGATCTTTATATGTTACTGTGTCTTTGTCCTATTGTACACCAGGTACAGTATATCAGAAGTATGAGCCAATCTTTTTCCAGTCCATTGGAAATCCATTTATTTTTAGATGCCTGGATGGAGTACTCATTGATGGAAATGACAAAGGAATATCCAAAGTCGTGTACAGGTAAGTTGGTGCCATGTTCAAATATAATTATAGGAGACAGAACCACACCACAATGATAACTAGCATTTGTACTCTAAATAAAATTTTATTTAGGTAGCTACTATGTAGCAACTCAGTTGCCCTATTGATTAGACAAAAGTTTTCTAAGAAAAATTGCCCTGTTCAATTCTAGGGTTAACTTTGAAAGTTAAGATACAGAGGAACAATCTCTTAGGTAATGCTTTCACCTGTTTCAGATCTTGCAATGGGAGGGATCGACTTGGCCCTTTAAAAATGAGTGATAGTACGTGGCTAACGTCAGAAATTCATAATCCATTGGCTGTAGGACAGTATGTCAACAATTGTTCAAATGGTAAGTTGGCACCGTGGGGCTGTGAGATATAAATACAGCAGTGGTAATGCTCCTCCTTTGCCACATGACTGAGTGCCAGCGGCAGTAGAGTTTAACATCTCAACTGTTCAGAACCCTTGAGTAAACTCGAACTTTGTACGGGCAGATTTTGAAGAGAGAATTTGAGGAGATAATGATATACATTAATTGGAATCCTTTAGTTTACTATGTTTATTCTGATTTTGCAGTAAATATAGGCAACTGCTAACTAACTGCTCTTTTTTGATCATTATTATTTTAATATTTTTTAATAGTTAACTTGGAGATTATTTTGTCAGTGTTTCAACATAGCCTTATAGGTTAATCACTAGACTGGTATTTTCATTCTGTTGCTAAGTTTATGAAGCACCTACTTTCTCCAGGGTTTGGCTTTCCCATAAGTATAAGTTTGATCATCTGGCTACATTTAGCGTAGACTTTAGCGTTAGGGAGACATGAACTTGAAGCCTGACTTCTCCCTAGCCTTTAACTTCTCTGAGCCCCTGTTTCTTGATCTTCAAGAAGTAAATAATAAAACATACAAACATATGTGTGTGTGTATAAATAAAATCTAGCAGTACATGGAATGTAACAGTAATTATTAATTTGAGCATTTTCTAATAATTTAGACAAACCACATATCAAGTGCCATAATTCAGGACTGTTTTCCTTGGCCTTGTAAAATCGCCGTTTCTAAAAATTTTATGTGTGTTCCTAGACAGAGCAGCCAATGTCTGTTATCAGGAATTTGATGTGCCTGCAGTTTTCCCTATAGAACTGAAGCAGTATCTTCCAAACATCGACTACAGCAATGACAAACAAAGGTGAGTCTCCTGGAAGAGATTTTCCTATCTTCTGTCTTATGCTATACCTAAAAATATATGTTTTCTAAGAAAAATCTATATAGAGTTTGGGGTGAGTTGTTTTATTTTATACTGAAAAATTGTAAGTTGGATTTTTATGTTCATCACACCTTAAAGTGTTAATGTAGGCTTATTCAAAATCTAAAATTTTCCATTAGCTTAACTTATTCTAAGCTTATTATTACCCACTTTTATTCTATGTAGTCCTTTTTAAGTATCAACTTTGAATTTTTTTTCAGGTGTTTCTGTTGTTTTTCCTACCTACAAATCTTCAAATAAAATTAAATCATTTTAAGGATCCTGTTCTCCACCTTACATGAGAGCACCCAGTTGAAGAAATGGGCCAAATTACACTATTATTTCTTTTGCCCATTTCACTATTAAGGCTCAAAAACTTAATAGTGAAAAAAAGGGAAATACTCAGAAGATATGAGTTTTTAACGTAACATTTATTCTCTGTTCATTAAGTGGAAAGTTTACTGAGAATGCTCAAGCAGCAATTTTTAAATATAAGTAATTCTGTAGAGCTAAGAAGTCTTTATTAAGAATGCTATAGGAAGATTTTATCTTTATGTGATTTCACTGGGCTGCCAGTTGCTGGCAAACTTTGTTTTGTATGGCTCCTATTAAGTTGTCCTTTGATGATGAATGATATTTAAAACTTAAACTATTCCCTGTACTAAAAACTGGATAACTTTTATGTCTCTCTCTGTGTTTGTATATTTGACAGTGAACAATTTTTTCAGCCTTATACTCTGGGGCATATTATTATTACTATTTAAAAGTACAGAAAAAATTAAATGAGTAGGAACATTGAAGGTGCGTATCTCTTGCTGTGTCCATAAAATGTATTTTTAAAAATTCCAGTTAATTTTAAGTAATGCTTCCAGCTTTGCAGAATACAGAGATACAAATTAATTTTTTTAAGTGTTAAACTATATAATGAGTGTCATTTTGAAATGTTTTTTGTGATACCAGTTTTGAGGGCCTGAACATAGAAACATTTTCAGAGGTAGTCAGTTGTTTAAATGTATTGATTTGTGGTCTTTTTAAGATGTAGAATAAACATACTCTAAAATACCTCCGTCAGGGATAAGACCTATTTCCTTATAGAAATCAAATAATAAGATAGCAGTAAGGAATTTGAATAAAATTATATCTGTAAAACCCATATTGGTTATATTAAAACTATGAGCTTGTATCTGTTAATACTCTAACTTTTGTCTCTTTTTGTTTTCAGTCCACTTCGATGTGTTGTTCTTGTCGCACTCAGGGACATCAAACAAGGAGAAGAACTTTTTTCAAACTACTATACAATTGTCAGCTAACTCTTTGAATTAGAAATTAGGTCTTCTTCTCAGCTATTGAATTAATTCCAAATGTTTTTTGGTTTCTCTGCGTTCTACCTGCAGAACAAATATTTTGAAACCTAATTGAAGTGGGATTTGTTTTGTTTTTATTGATATTATATTTATGTTTCAATTCCAAGATAAAAGCTATCTGCTTCATTACAAATTTAAATTTGTAATGCAGTTCCAATGTTAATTGGTTTGCTTAAGTACACAGTAGCTTACTAAATTAAAACCTACTGTCTAAATTTAAAATTTCAATTTTTCTTTTATTTTGCATACCCCTGGGGTGTTTTATCAGAGTTTAGCCAAGTCATCAGAAATTCTTGTATCGTTGATGTGTACAAACTTCTGTAAAAACTTTATTTTTACAAAATAATCTAAAGCCAAAATTGTTCATTGTGTTGCCATGAGTTAATAGGGGGGCGGGGGTGGAATGTGATTTAAAGATTGTTTTAGCCGTGTAAGGGGAAAATGGAAGGTCATTATACTATTTTCTCTACTTTATTTGAACATTTACACACACACACAAATTTTTTAAGAGCATGAGAGACATTGTTTCAGCATGGAAATTGAGTTAAAAGCTGGTGGTGGGAAGAACACCTGTTCTCCATTTCTCATGTTTCATGGGCTTTCATTAGTAATACTCCTGCCTCTCTCTCTCCCCATTGGACGAAGAGTGGTTTTCTGAGGTTATTTTGGGAAAAGAACTAGGCACTCATGGCCTGAACCCCTCTAGTTCCTTCTCTGTGGACTCTCCCAGCAGAGTGTCTTCTGGGATGCTCTCTGCCCTGTTAATGAGTTACTTTGATTTCCATCGACCTGACTCCTGCATCCAGATGTCAGTTTCAAACTTGGATAGGGAGGAGGGTGTTATCCATTGGGTCCCTCAAATCCTAAAATGGAACCTGTATAACCAGATTCAGACCAACTTCACTGCTGCACCAACAGTTTTTCTTACATAGTTTATTTCAATTTCAAAAGGCTCCTAATTGCCTTCCCTGTTTCCATGCTGCCCCCTTTACAGAATAGATCATTAAGAATGATTCTTTTAAACATAAATCAGATTCTGACCCAACTCTGCTCAGAACCCTTCTGTAACTCCTACCTTGGAGTAAAGTCCTTCACTACTTCTGATTGCATGTCCAGCTCACCCCAATCTGCCACACCTGCCTCCTTGCCACTTCTTGAACATGCCAGGCACACTCTCAGCTCAGGCCTTTTGCACTAGTTCTGCTTCCAAAAACTTTCCCCCAGATAGCCATTATAGCTCAGTCTGTCACCTCGCCTAACCACTCTATTGAAATTTGATCCCCAACTGCCACCCCTGAGAATCCGCCTTCTACTTCTCTATAGCATTCACCTGGTATGTGCACATAAATCCATGACAGCATCTTATTCTCAGCCTCATTTGTCTTTTATTCGTGCCACCAAGATTTTGAGAGATGAGGGGGACTCCTCTTGTAAAAAAGCCAAGCTATTTGAGCAAGATCCTGTTACCCAGAACTTTATGTAAAATACAGGAACTTTTAACTCCTATGGACATACTAGGTGGAGTATTTAGAAGTGAAATGTTGCAATGTCAAAGACTTTTTTTAAATAATTCAGAAAAAAATCCATGTTATATAGAAAGAGGTCAAATCGGGGAAAATGTTAATTGTTTAATCTAGGTTGTTCTTTATACTGTTATCTTAACTTTTGTCTTTAAAGGTTTTTAAAATTTTTTTAAGTTGGGGGAAAAGTCATCATCAGCTTAAGAGTAATATAGGTCAACAAACATTTAGTGAATACCTGCTATGTGAAGAGTCCTAGGAGATTAAAAAAATAACAGTTCCTGCTAACAAAATGCTCACAGTGGGAGTTTAAAACTTGCCCAGTACCATGACTTGGTCTGGACTGCAGGGGTGAAGATATTTTTAAAAAATAAAACATTAACATTTAAAAAAATAGAATTTTTTTTCTTATTAGAATAACTTTTAAATATTTGTAAATGACTTATTTCTGACATACTTATTAAATGCTTTTATTAATTCTACACAGAAAACAAATTTGTGGCAGTATTGGCTTTACCTCTGTAAAAACAATCTCATCAAAATCAAGGTACACAATAGAGCATGTGTGTCTCTAAAATGAATGCCAGCTACAGTATATTAAATCTCTAAAAATGTGAGCATTTCTTGTCTAGGACCATGGATTGAGTGCCCCTGTCCACTATTTTGTCAGAGAACCCACAAAGACACGTTGAAGAGGATAAGGACTAGAGATCACTTACCTAGGTGGGAAATGATAAAACAGTGCTATGTCCCAGAGACTAATTTAAATTAAAAACTGGGGGGAGGATATAGCTCAGTGGTAGAGTGCATGCTTAGCATGCATGAGGTCCTGGGTTCAATCCCCAGTACTTCCACTAAATAAATAAAATAAATAAATAAACCTAATTACCTCTCCCCACCAAAAAAAAAAAAAAAAGACAAAAAATGAAAGCGCATATAACAAAAAAATCCAGTTGACGGATGGCATGAAGAGTTTGAGAAGTCAGAGAAGCAGCAGGCCAAAATAGATAAGGACTACGAGTGACTGGAGATTATTCTGCTCCCACAAGGCTCTCCTCCCTCCCCTGAAAGCCTCAAACACCATGCTTTTATGTGCACTTGGCTGCACTCTTGGCTGTATTCATAACACCAGGCTGGTGCTTGTCCCTCTTTGAAGGCGCTTCTGTGTATGTGTCCACCAGAGAGCCCTGCACATTAAGGCTCTTTGGTGTCTGTGAATGAAGAAATGTGATTTTCAACAAGCAACTGAAGCAGAGGAGTCAAGGTTTTTATCCTTGTATCAAATCTGCCATTATGTGCAATCTTATCACTTATATTAAGAATGGAACTAGATAAAGCTCTGGTCAGAGCAAGTAAAATATGAGGACAAACTCGTGCAATTAGGTTGAGATATTTAGCTTGAAAAGATGAAGGCTTAGGGAAGATATTTCTAGATAAGGAAATTAGTTTACTATAAATATATTGTCAAATAATAACATCTGATCAAATTTTAGATTTCATGTCTTTCTAAATGATGTAATTGCCAAGAACAATGTTTCAAACATGAGAGACATTCAATAAATACTTCCTGAATTAAACTGAATGTATGCAGAATCCTCACTTTGGGATGGCTAAAATGTTATAGGTGGAAATTTATTTTAGAGGATTTAAAGAAAGCTTATTTTTCTACCAACTTTATTACTTACCTAGCAAATATCTTATTTACTATATCTAAAACCAACTTAACAGAGGTTAATATCTACCCATGTGTTATAGCTTAAGAGTCATTAAATAAAAATCTATTTGTGGCAAATACTCACACAAACCAAGGAAAAAAAAAAGATTTCCAGATTTTTATTTCTGGAACTGTACACCAGGTATTAAAGTACAACAAATACAAAATAATGCTCAAAAAAATCAGTGTTTATGTACAAATATTAAAATCAATGCAACAATAGCAACTTCCTCTTGAACATCTGATACTAAAACTTGTTCTGATTGTCACTAATTAATCTCATACTCACAGGGTACTTATTTCAAACTGGGACAATTGGAATCACTGGTCATCTAAGAGGAATTTTAATATCTACCATATTTAACAATAAAACTAATAGTTTCCTCCTTTTAGTGAAAAAATTAAGAACTTTTTAAAAAACATAGTAATGTCAATATTTTTATAAATTATTTCAATTTCCATCTGTAGACAATGTGCTTTGAAACTCTGGGCAATCTCCTTGGTGGTCAGGTTTATTTGTTAGTTTACATTCAAAGTTGAAATATTCACTAGAGACTTTGGTTAAATTAAACAGTATCACTATGCTCTATTAGATCTGATGTTCTCAAATATTATGACCGACAATTGTAAAAATTAAAAAGGAAACAAATGCACAATTCTTTGACCTAATTGTATACAATTTAGTATTTTTTAAGCAGTATTCTACATCCTTCAAGTAAATTCAGCAGTTGACCATGACAAGAGGAAAATTAAACACTGAAAAAGCTAGCATGAAAAAGTGGAGTACGACTAACAAAAGTAAAGTATTGCTATAATCACAGCACCAGTTTCACTTCTAAAGGAATCCGCTGTCCTCTTCAAACCCCCTGTACATGAAAGACACATCAGCCAACACTGCAACTGCTCACCGTGGATTTTTGGTTTGTTCATACGAAAATAATGTGACAAAGGAAAAAAGAAAAAAGAATTTATCACAGTTTGTTATAAGAATTGTGCTTAACACTTGATAATAAAGGCATTATTGTTTCTCCATATGATTGCAAATCAGTTATTTTCATGCTTTCAAACGCAATTCTTCTAATAAACAGCAACAAATTCTCTGTTAAGATGCTCAAACGGAAAGAAAAAAAAAAAGACCAGTAAGTCCAGATTTAAAAGGAAATTCAATAAATAGCTATTTTACATGAATAAAGTCATAGTGGTACAATTTATGAATGTCACATCAAGCATGCACAAAAATGGTATTATACATGGAGGAAGCAGTCAGAAAATATTGAATTAGATCTAAAAAGATATGAAGAATTTACATATATATACAAAAATCTTGCAAATTATTGCCTCATTTTAACAAGGAATTGAAAGTAAACGTTACCAGCTAGTTAGAGCTCTCTAAGAGGCTAAAATCAGACTGGTGTTTAAAAATCTATTAAACTAGCTGGAATTTCTTTTTCTCTCATATCATTTCTGGATTTTGGTCAAAAATCTTTATTTAAATAACTAAAGTGTCCATTCAACTTGCTGATAATCAAAACTTTAGATAAGAAACACTGTTTCCATCTTATATCAAGATCCCAGCAATGCATAGATAAACTGAATATATTACTGCATCAGCTACTGAGAATGGGCATGTTCATTTAAGTGCAACTGGTATTAGCATTCAGTCATCTTTGTGTAAATTATTTTATACAGACCAGCCACTGTAAACCCAGAGTAAAAATTAAAGTTATAACAATGGAAGATAATGGCCAGTATCTTACTAAATTATAGGTGTACTCATTTTTAACAAAAGAAATCAGGTTCAAAGTTTAGCACGACACCACAGCAATAAGAAGCTGACAACTTGGATAAAAATATCTGAAAGCAACACAGAGCCCAGGCTACCCATTATTTACTGTGTGCATACAGGAATGCTAGACTTCAGATGTATAAATTAGAGATGGACTATAAGTTATTAATTTAACTACTTTTGTCCACTGTGCTAAACTAACTTTTATAGTAAATGTGCTAATGCGTAAACACTTCAAAGCAATCTTCATTAAAATGCTGCAAAGAAAAACAAGAATACACATCATCCAAAACTAAGGATGTCATTGCAGTTCACAGTTTGTGTAATAAATACCCTCCCTTTCCATCACTACTAAGGTCACTACATTCTATCTACTCATCAGCACAACCTTGAAGCGATTTATACTTAAAAATATCAGCAATGCAGCCAAACACTTAAGTTTTTTGCAAAGCAAGACAACTAATAGAAATTGAAAATTTTAATTAAGACGGTGCAAAAAAAAGTAAAATTCTGTATTTTAACTGAACTATAAAAGCAAAGCTTATCATATCCTAATACTGCATTACATATTGTTTGAATTCACCTTATAACTTAAAGATGCATTTCTACAGAGCAAAAATGGCCAAAGTTTATGACAATGGCTTCTCATTCACAATGTTTGGAATAAAAATAAAACTGAGTTTGAGATGCATCTGAACGTCAAACACTTTTTAAAACTTAAAGTGGTAGCGTACCATTCTATTTCAGCTAGGAACTCACATTTTTCTTGCCAACTGTTCAAGCTAAACAGTTAAGTTTAAATATACTTCAAGGTTCTACTGCCTTATGTGTAAAATCGAGAAATCCCTCCTAACTATTAACACTCTGAACTGCAGTGCTACAAAACAACTTAAGAGGTGTCCCAAAATGTAAACCAATGAGTGGCAACATCCTAGGCTTTGTAGACTGTGCCCTGCAAGTCAACTGCCTCAGGATAAACTAAAATATCAATGACCAGTATGATTTTTATGATTACAATCTTGATAACGGTGGACAAAACCCCATGTGAATACCACATCTTCAAATGCCAAATTTTTAGCCAATAAATGAAGTTACACAGAAATCTTCTGGCAGTAAAATGACCAATTCTGTGTAAGGTACACCTGGTCTAAAATTCTGAAACAGGATCCAAGCAAGCGTCTTCATAATTTGCACACAGTTCCTCGTGCTGGCTTCCATAAAGATGGACTTGCTGTTTTGTAAACTGAAGTGCTCTAGTTGAATAACATGAGAGAAGTTTCCATTTTAAAAAAATCCTTGCATGTTTGTGCAGTTTAAAGAAACCTACCCCTGCTTTTATTTAATTAAGAAAATAAAACCAAAAATGCTACATTAAGCAGGGATCGGGATCGGTACCTGTAAACATTGTTATTCCACTGCATCCATTACGGCAAAAGGAATTTACACGAAAAGAAGCCACTCCATTCAGTTCAGAACATCTGTGCTGGTTTTGAGCTGGTGGCCTCTGTCTACAGGTTTTAAAATTGGGAGTGAGGGCAGTGGGAAACAGAAAAGAATAGAAAAAGAAGGGAGTAGGGAAGAGGTACTGGGGATGAGGAAGAGATAAGCAGAGCTTAAAGCTGCACCAGAGTTCAATCTTAGTTCCCAACTCTGCTGATCATAGTTCATTTCCACATTTATGGATTGAAAATGAAAATACTCTTGATAAATCAAGATATAGTTCTATACATACTGACATCACTGATGTCATAGTGAAAAAGGTTCAAACTTCCAGTGAAAGACTAAGCAAACCTGATACTTTCCTCAAGTTTACTGGTACTGCACACCCACTGTTTCCGGGCCCCTCACTTGAGTCACTCAGAATGAAGGGCGGCATGCTGATGCAGGGCGTGGGCACTGATGAAACCATTGGTCTCGTTGGCAGACAGACTGCCAAAGTCAGCCACAGACACGGCCATCTTGGCACTGGTGATATGATGTGTGTGATTTTCAAAGTCCACACCCAAATTATTTACAGAAACCTCATTCATGAAGGATTCAGGAACAGCAATGCCCATTTTCAATCTCTTTGCCGGTCTTTCTGATTCTTCACTGCACATGTTCATGGGGTTTAGCTCTGAGTGGTAAAATCCAGTCTCAAATAAATTAAAACAATCACTTTCCCCATTGCTGGGCAGGGTGAGTAACTCCTCCGTTACAACAGGCACATGATTTACTTGTCCACGGGGTGTGTTTCCCAGTGGAGGAAAGCTATCATCCAAACAATTCACATCCGTTGGACTGCAGACGGTCGCTACACTGTTGGTCAAAGCTAAAAAGAAATGGAAAATGATTTCAGTAAGTGGTCCTTTGTCATGCAACAAAAGGGATATAATTTTGCCCCAAGCTATACTAAAAAATGCAAAAAGATGTTCATTTTACCTGTCAAGTCACTGGCAGTGAAAGAGTTGAGAATGTTCAGCTGTTGATCAGGAATAGGCTCAGGTCGGTTAGCAGTTAAGGCTGAAGAATTTACTGTCCCACCCAGAGCTTCTGTTTCATCTACCAAACGATCCATATAGTCCCTAAAAAACACACCCCAGTAATTTTATGACTGCATATCACAGTTAAAAACAAAAGTCCCTGATGTCAAGCCCATAGTACTTACGTAACTCCAGGGTGATGGTTATATCGCTTCTTTCCAAATCTTGTCTGTTGGGCAAAGTAATCATAACGTTCAGATTTCTTCCACATATAGTAGAATGCTACACATTCAGCAACTGTTCTAGTTCTCACCTAAAAAAAAAAGTTGGATTTTTAAAAATCAACAAATTCTATGCATTTTTTAATGCAAAAGTTTTTTTAACACTGTAATTTCAACCCATTGGTCTTGCTTTCTACCCCCTCAATTATGAAATTCTGGACATTGAATTAGTGAACTGTCTCTACGTTTACACTATTTAGTAATAAAAGCCCAAGGCTTTTTATTTAAATTATAATGTAATAATAATAATAAATGTGTACAGAGAAATTATCTTAAATCTTTACTGAAACTCCTAAAACACTGGCATCCTTTAGTTTTCTTCACGGAACTTTCACTGTGATTCTGACTTTAGCAGGAGTCCTTCCTAATCCTAAGGGATCTATGAATGGGCTTCACTGGGATCTACTCATTCCCAAACTGCATGCAGGTACACTTCACTGGGGAGAAGGGTGCAGCTTTATTACATTATTCAAAGGGTTCTATGACCCAAAAGAAACTAAGAACGCTTGACAAACAGATCAGCACTTTACCTCATCTGGAATTTAAGATGATTGCCAGCTAAAGGCAAGATTTTTTCCTCCATCATGCATTTGGCTCTTAGCTCCAAAAGAGTTTGGTAAAAACAACAACAGTAACAAAATTTGAGCCTCATTCAACTTGGCTCCATATCAAGACTAGGACTCTTCTAACAATATATAGCTCTAGGTATGAGTTCAGACATACAGACAAAATTCTGTATCTTTACCCAATAAGCTTTTCCTCCTGTTTAATCAGTACCCAACAAGGAAGTTTCAGTATCTCTATCGTAGTTAGTGAGCACACTGTGAGATAAAGATCGTAACATGGGAATAAGCTTTTTAAACCAAGAAATAAAGTATACCTTTCAATAAACGTATTAACTCTTTAAGTCTTCCAAAAGAATGTAGGCTTCTTGGGAAGAGAGGCCTTTCCTGTCTTATTCATTGATGTATCTCTAGTGCTTAAAACAATGTCTGGTAAATGATAGAGCTTAATTTGTGAAATAAATGGGTACATTTCCTAAGTCATTGCAAAACTGAAGTTTTATTTCCATTTAAAAAGTTAACGCAGACTTCTTTAAAAATGTTTTATCTATTCGCTAAATTAAACACTTCATCTCATCTTTGGGAAAACAACAGGTTTTCATAAATACTAAAAAGCATGAAAGTATTCAACATTATACTGGAAGATCTAGCTAATGCAGTAAGAAAAAGAAATAAAAGGTACACAGTTTGAGAAGAAAGAAAACTCTGCAGATGACATGACTGTCTATATAGAAAATCCTAAAAACTAATGAATGGAATTAATAAATGATTATACCAAGGTTGTAGGATATAGGGTTAATATGCAAAAGTCAACCGCTTTCCTAGATAACAGCAATGAACAATTGATTCTTGAAACTAAAAACACAGTATCATCTACATTAGCACCCCAAGAAATGTAATACTTAGGTATAAATCTTAACAAAATACATGTCAGATCTACATAAGGAAAACTACAAAATTCCAATTAAAAAAATGAAATATTTAAATAAATGGAGAGATAGTCTATGTCCATAGATAGGAAGACTGATTACTGTTAAGGTATGAGTTCTTCCCAACTTGATTTATAGGTTCAGTGCAATCCCAATTAAAATTCCAGCAAGTTATTTTGTAAATATTGGCAGACTCATTCTGAAGTTTATATGGAAAAGCAAAAGATCCAGAATAGCCAACACAATATTGAAGCAGAAGAACAAAAGTTGGAGGACAGACACTACCCAACTTTAAGACTTACTAATAAAGCTGCAGTAATCAAGATAGTATAGTATTGATAAACAAATATATTAATGGAACACAACAGAGAACCCAGAAACAGACTCACACAAATACAGTCAACTAACCTTTGACAAAGGATTAAAGGCAACTCAATGAAAGAAAGATCATCTTTTGAATAAACGGTACTAGAACAACTGGACATCTACATCCACCTTTCACAAAAAAAACTCAAAACAGATTACAGACCTACATGTAAACTGCAAAACTATAAAAGCTCGTAGAGGATAACATGGAAGAAAACCTGGATGACACTGGGGATAGTAATGACTTTTCAGAAACAACAACAAAAGCACAATCTATGAAAGAAAAACTGGTAAGTTGGACTTCATTAAAGTTAAAAACTTTTACTCTGCAAAAGACACTGTTAAGAGAATGAAAAGATAAGCCAAAGACTGGGAGAAAATATCTGCAAAACACCTATCTGATAAAGAACTGTTATCCAAAATGTATAAAGAACTCTTGCAAAAACAAACTACCCATTTAAAAAAATGTGCTAAAGACCCTAACAGACACCTCACCAAAGATGTATAGGTGGCGAATAAACAGATGAAAAGATGACCCACATATGTCATCAGGGAAATGCAAATTAAAACAAGATACACTATACACTTTCTAGAATAGCCAAAATCCAAAACAATGACAACACCAGATGCTTGCAAGGATGTGGAGCAACAGGAACTCTCATTCATTGCTGGTGGGAATGCAAAATGGCACACTCTGGAAGACAGTCTGGTAATTTATTATAAAACTATTCCATACCATCCAACAATCACACTCATTGGTATTTATCCAATGGAGCTGAACACGTCTAAAAAAATACCTGCACACTGATGCTTATAGTTGCTTTATTCGTAATTGCCAAAACTTGAAAGCAACCAAGATGGCCTCCAAATGGTGAATGGGTAAACATATTGGTACACTCATACAATGGTATATTATTCAATAATAAAAAGAAATGAGCCACAAAAAGGACAAACCTTAAATGCATATGGGAACTCTCTATATTTTCTTCTCAATTCTGCCATGAACCTGCAACTGCTGCAAAAACTAGTCTTTTTTTTTAAAAGTGTGTGTGTGTGTGTGTGTGTGTGTATTCTAATAGGTTGGGATAATTAAATAAAATATACTTTGCTTATTCTCTTTGTCCTAATGAACACAGGATTCTAAAGTATTTTGCTGAGTAGGTCAGTATTTTATGCCTATTGCTTTCTTTTTTTGGGGCAGGGGGAATTAGGTTTTTATTTATGTTTTTAGAGGGAGTACTGGGGATTGAACCCATGACCTTGTGCATGCTAAGCATACACTCTACCACTTGAGCTATACCCTCCCCCCATGCCTATTGCTTTTTAAACTAGATTTTATATTTTAGAGTAGTTTTGGGCTTACAGAAATTGATCAGAAAATAACAGAAATGTTAATGGCAGGGGAGCATTAACAAGTTATAACTTTTTTCCCCTACTCAAATGACTTATAAATTGGTTGCTTATATTCATTGTAATTACTAAGCAATTTCTCTGTACTAATTTGCCTAACTTACCTTATTCTTCTGTATAAGATGAAAATCTTTTCCAAAAAGCATCAGCGCATGTTCAAAGCTCCGGCATTCTTCTTCTGTCCATGCAGTCATTCCTTCTAAAGAAATTTTAAAACAAAATACAATGGCCTCAAAACTCTTTTATATGAATCATCAATTTACTTTCAGTATGTTTTCCCTATAAAAGGCTAAAAACTTATACACACACACACACACAAGTTCTGTATGTATAGATTTTAGTTAGGATTACCGAAAGTATGCCTATTATATATCTTATCAAAAAAATCTAGAATACTAATATAAATACCAGTTTTGTTCCTCTGCATGTTGGGATAAAAATTTAACGATTTTTTTCTATAACTTATGCTCACAGTTTTTCAGATTTTTTTTAAACAATGAGCATTTTTTTTTAATTAGGGGGAAAAAACTTACATCAAAACAGTAAGTTTTTACATTGTAACTGACTGTACTTCAATTTAAAAAATAAATTTTTAAAAACCCCGTAAGTTCTTTAGAGACCATAAATAATCAACACATATTTATTTAAAGTCGATTTTCAGAGTGCTATACTATAGAAATATAAAGGGAATAAGAAACAGCCATGTTCCCAAAAGACTAAATCCAATTCAACTTCCCACAGATGTTAATGTTGATGAATCAAATCTACTTGGGGCAGAGGAGACCTGAAGTACCTCATTCACAGTGGAGACCAGATCCCCAAAATCAATACAAAATGTATTTAGTTTTCAGAGTTTGAGAGCTTCAAATATTTTTTTTCAAAGAAGCAGATTTTACAAGGAAGTATTTCAAAATACTATCTCAATCTACAAGTTTTAAATGTACTATTTTCAGCTTTTATATTTTTCCAAGCCATTTATATAATATTACTAAGTATTATTTCATTCTGTATATACTTAATGAAAGCTATGATGCATGCAATTTATATAATGACAAAAATACTTAAAGTTAACCATTTTCCCTGACACAAGACAAAACCTAAGCACTGCAAAAATGTTATTACATGATTACTAAAAATACACTTCTTACAATAAGTTCAGTGGGATATATTATACATTTTTTTTTCATCTTTAATCTCTTTTTCATTTCCTGACAACATTTTTTTCCAGTGAAATCATAAAATCATTCTTATTCATTACTTTGGATATATTGTCATCTCTGGGGTCTGCTTTGCTCGTTACCAACTATTTCTTAAAGAAAATGGAGGTGACCCGGGGGTAACTAATTTGTATTTGAACAATTTCCGCTATGTCTAAAATTAGAGGGCAAGAAAAGGAAAAAATTATTTGCTATGAAGATGAACACAGATCTTACACAAGTGTTACAGGATTGCTCCATCCTCTATGATACTTTTCTTATTCTGATCCCCAAATGACCATCCCCTGTCACCTCCCTCTCTTGATCCCAAGTGTTTCTTACCTTGAGATGCCTTTCCATTGCAGCAGTACCTTTCAATTGCTTCCTTTATATTATGGTTGCACTTGAGAAGTTCATATAATGCCTAGGGGAGAGGGAAAAAACTATTCAATAAAAATTACTGAAAGTTCATCCTTAACAGCATTTAAGAAAACCAACAAAAAAACGGTAAATTGTTGAGAGTCCTACCAAATACCAGCTGAAATGCTCTCTAATTTCAGGACATTTGAGAATATGTTTGCCCATACATTTACTCTACATAACTATCCTGTAGACTGACTCTGGTATCCATAGTGTTTGTTCACTCTCATACCACCTCTCAGAAGTCATCCACCAGTATCATTCTTGACTTTTTTTTCAGGCCTTCTCAGCTAGAGGAGTTCCCCTATTTTAGATGATTATTTCTAGTTGGGAAAAATTAGAATTATGATCCTGTCTCTTGATATCACCTACTCCCTGCCCTATAAAGTTTTAATAAAAGAGAACAATAGCATACCTAGAATATAGAAGGACCAATACCTTAGTGACTGGAGTATAATGGTCTTAGTTATTTCCATCTACTATGGAAGATACTGTATTTTTAGAATTAGAATTTCTTCCTATTAAATCTGTTTGGAATTATAAATATACTAAATAATCACTAACAGAACTCAACTGAAAGTTAAATAATAATCCATGTCCCCAAGTAAGTTTCAAGAAAGGGAAGGACGGCTCAATATTAGTAAACCTATTAAATACATCCACAGGTTAATAATCAATACATTTATAATCGATCATTAAAGACAATCTGAACAGCTGCTAAAAAAGCTTCAGATAAATCAGTATTCATTTCTATTTTCAAAAAGACAAAAACCACAACAGTTATAAGTAGACAGATACTACCTTACTATGATAAAGGTGGCCTATGTCAAACCAAGGCTGGTTTTATTCTTAATGTAAAAACCTTAAATGTATTCTCTTCCATCAAAAGCAGGCCTCAAATCACTGTTACTATCAAGTATCTCTGAGGATTATGGCTAATGCAGTAAGACATACAATGGGAATAAGAGATGTAACAATGGCAAAGAAGCAGCAAAAGTATAATGATGACTTTAAGACTAGAAAACCTAAGCGAAACAACTGAAAAATCATTATAGTAAATAGTTTCAAAAGCTTGAGAAAACATTTTAAAATTGGTATTTCTCTAAATCAACAATACACAAATATAGATACAATAGAGATCCCACTTACAACAGTGCTAAATACACACACACATATTTAAAGGATAATGCATGTGATATTTAAACAAAAACATTTGAGTGATTAAAAAAGTCAAATGAAGAGACTCAGACCATGTTTTTGAAGTAGATTTAATGTTCTAAAGGTACTACTTCTTCCAAAATTAATTTATAGTTTTAATGGAGTGTCAGTATAAAAATCCAATGGAATTTCTTTTTTTTAAATTGATATAGATGCTTCTTTTTTTTTAAAGTATACTTGATTTATGTTATGTCAGTTTCTGGTGTACAGCATAGTGATTCAGTCATATACATATATATATTATTTTTCATTACAGGTTAGTGCAAGATACTAAATATAGTTCCCTGTGCTATACCTTAGGTCCTTGTTGTTGGACCTTGTTGTTGGGATTTCTTTTCGACAACTGACAAAACTTTGAAGTTCAGTTAATGTGACCTCTCTATGTTACTTGGGAATTCAAGTTTCAGTCCACCTATCTCTGGGTATTCATTAGTCAAGATTAGCCAGACTGGTGATACAGAGTGAAAGGTATATGAGAGGGGTAAAATAATGTCAGAGAGCAAAACTAGGGCATTAAAAAACCTGAAAAGCAATACTCTCATCCTTATCCCACACACCGTCAGAAGAGTGTTCTGTACCTACAAGTATATAGTACTTAAAAAATGCTCCTAAAGCTAACTTACACAATCTTAACAGACATTAACTTTAATCACTTCCTGAATAAAGTTCTACAACAATCCAAAAAATAACTTTATCATAAAATCTGAAAGTCCAACCACAGAAAACGTTTAAATATACCATGGAATATACAGTCATCAAGAATGAAGTAGTATTACCCAATCAAAAAATGGGTAGAAGACCTAAATAGACACTTCCCCAAAGAAGACATACAGATGGCCAATAGTCACATGAAAAGATGTTCAACATTGCTAATTATTAGAGAAATGCAAATCAAAACTATAATGAGATATCACCTCACACCAGTGAGAACAGCTATCATTAAAAAACCTACAAATAATAAATACTCAAGAGGATGTGGAGAAAAAAGAACCCTTCTACACTGTTGGTGGGAATGTCAATTGGTGCAGCCAACAATGGAGTATAGTATGAAGGTTCCTTAAAAAACTAAAAACAAAGTTACCATATGATCCAACAATCCCACTTCTGGGCATATATCCAGATAAAATTATAACTCAAAAAGATACATGCACCTCAATGTTCATAGCAGCATTATTCACAATAGCCAAGACATGGAAGCAACCTAAGTGTCCATCAAAAGATGAATGGATAAAGAAGATGTAGTATGGATACACAATGGACTACTACTCAGACTTAAAAAAGAATGTAATGCTAATTGCAACAACAACATGGATGGACCTAGAGATCATATTAAGACAGAAAAAGACAAATATCATATGCTATCACTTATATGTGGAATCGTTAAAAAAAATGACACAAATGAACTTATTTACAAACCAGAAATAGACTCACAGACATAGAAAACAAACTATGGTTACCAAATGGGAAAGGGGGAGGAAGGGATAAATTAGGAGTTTGGAGTTAACATATACACACTACTATATATAAAATAGATAAACAACAAGAACCTACTGTATAGCACAGAGAACTATATTCAATATCTTGTAATAACCTGTAATGGAAAAGAATATATATATATGTATAATTGAATCACTTTGCTGTACACCTAAAACTAAGACAATGTAAATCAACTATATTTCAATTAAAAAAAGAAGTATGACAGAAATCTCAATGACAAAGAAAATAACATTAAGTGATTAAAAGGATATAAAATGGTATCTAAGATAAGATATATGTATACGTATATACATGGTATACAAATATACAAGTATTTTCCAAGTTTTAAAAATCAGAGATAGCCAATTCATATATAAGAAATATTTGAATCAAATATAAGAAAATAAAGAAGATATTATATTAGTTAGCTACTGTTTCAACAGAAATTGATGTATACCTGTTCATTGTCCCTTGTGTGTGTTCCTGCAGAAATCCTATCCATTATTTTCTCACTTCCAGTTCTTAATGAGGTCTCAACAAGGTACTCCTTAACTTTGCTCTCCAGAACCACACCAGGACGCCAAAGTAACTGGTCTTCATTTTCATACACTGATAGAGAAAATCCCATTAACACATTAAAAATAGTGAACACACTCAAAGATGCATACAGACTGCTCTTCCTCTTCCCATACACTGGGACAAGTAATTAACTTCAGGACACCAATAAATTGATTGTCTGGCAAGCTGAGTCTTTCACTAGCAAATGTTTAAAAGAATTTTTTTTTAAACTTTATTAAGGGCCAAGTATTCCAGCGACTAGAGCAAGTAATTTTTTTGGTGGTTGGATTTACTAACAAGTGAGAAGGTTTTCTATGCCTTGTAGTCTAATGTAAAACTGGTAGTGGCCTCTTACACTCTTGTAATGAGGGGTTAAAAATAACCTGTGTAAATTCTTTAATAACTTCACTGGAATTTTCTCTTAACTGCCTAAATTGCTCTATGAAATGTCTAGAGGTTAAAAATTGAAAACAAATAAAATAAACAAAAATAAATAAAAATCAAAATAACTGCCAGTAATGAAATATCTAAGAAAGATATACTTTTCCTTTACTAATTTCTTCCCCAAAAGGTAAATTTTTATTTAAAAAAGGAAGCAGACTAATCAAAAAAGAAAAAGAATGACAAACAGTAAGAAAAGTAAACTTTCCACTTAAGAGGCTAATACGTTAATAAGTGAAATGTCACTAAAACAAACTGTATATTTTATTAATGCAAATACTGCTGCCATCCTCAAAGCTTCTACCTCACACAATAAACTGTGAAATAAAATCCTATTGCTTCAAATGCAATCCATTCTTCAAGTGTACAGTAACCACTAAATACAGCTAATAAAAGAAGTTTACTGAGAATTCACTATGTAGCAGAGACCATGGTAAGTGCTTTATAGTCACAACTGTATAAGGCAGGCATTACCATCCCGATGAGCAGGAAAGTTAAAAGTAAAGTGTGCCTGTTATGCAACAAAACTGACTTTTGAGGTAAGTTTCTGGAACCAGTTTCTTTACTCTTCGGTCAAAACTGAAGTAGTTTTGTTCGAGTTTATTCCCTCAAAAGATAAAGTTTACTTTCCCTCCTGAAAGCACAAAACTGAGAGATATTACCTCCATTTTGTTTAGCCTAAGGACCGAGAGCTGCTGAGTATGTACTTGGCTCCAAGGGTGTGTGTGTGGCATGTGGGTGGGAAGGTGGAGAGACAGGGGCATCTGAGGATGATCAGCTCCTATTTACTTCCCTGGGACAACTGTCTTCTATCACTTGGAAAGCAGTTTAGGAAATCATTGTTGCTAGGGGCTGCCAAGGTTACCTAGGTAACCAGTCCTCCCTCCCATTCAATGGGGGATGAACTGATACAGAGAAAAGGAAGAAAGAAGAATTCAGGAAGAGTTGTGTCACTGTGCTGCTTTCGACCTCATAACTTCAAAGGATGAATCAACTCATTAAAGAAAAGGTCAAATGCCCCTGGCCAAATCTGCTTGGTTCCCAAGTTCAGCAAGGAAGGTGTACCTGGATTTTCACTTCCCATCACCTCACCTCTCCATTTTTTCAGAATCAGCTATAGTTGGAATCTATCAAAAACTTGAGAAAAACTGATTACACTTAAGTGGGGGTGTGTAACAAAAGAAACAGAATCCTTACATTCCACCACCTTCTCTTCCAGGGCTGGGGCAGAAGAATTTCTTCTAACTTCTTTTTTCCTCAAGAGTTTCTTTCCAAGAGGATCATATCCCTAACATTCTCATTATCTCAGATGATAAGATGCTACCCACTTCTACTGGAGAAGGATATGGGCCAAACAGTTGCACTTGAAGAGCAGCTCCACTAATTTCACAGTTGCTGAGCATACTGGCTAAGAAGCATTGTATGAGGCAGAAGGTGGTTCCCTGAGTCTCCTGGTTAATTTTAATACATTATTCCTAAGTCAGGCCTAATGTTCCCTGACTCCAAATCTCCCTTTACACTGACAAGATGAGTATATAATCAGGTATTTAAATAAACATGCTGAGATGTAACTTGGCCTACCAAGTATTATCAAAATCAAAAGTCTTCTTTACCTTTCTCATTACCAGCATACTCTCCGAGATAAGGCGGAATCTCTGCCTGGTACTGTAAACCAATCATTATTTCCTACAGGAAAATTTAGAAGTAAAAACAACTTACTATAAATGCTGAAAAACAAAGTTTCAACCCATTAATCAGTTACTACAAGTCAAAAGTTACCTTGCAAAACAAAGTTATTTTAAATTATTTCAGAAATGTTTTTAAAAATGACTTTAATCCAAATGGTCTACTAAGTTATGATGGTAACTTAACATACCTTCCTCAGATCTTCAGGTGAGTTACCACTGTCTGTTTCAACATCTTCAACCTCTGATTCTTTATCCCCATCACATGTAGTATTTGCTTAAAAGAAGAAATTTAAATTAAAAAAAAGGTTTTTGTTGCCTATTTTTGCAGTACTTAAAAGAGTGCCTAGTATTTTATTTATGATAATTTATAAAAACTTATTGAATAAATGAGATCAGCACAAATACACTAAAACTCTTGCACTGGTCTCACATTTTGAAACTAGTCAAAACAAGACACTGAAAATACTAAGAAAATGCATAGTATCTTTATAATTATTTGGTATACGGTCAAATAGTTTGGAGAGGCAAGAGGAAAACCACTATGGTCACCTTAAAAAAGAAGGTAAAGCACTGGATTACACTAATCCAGAGTGAGACATACACAAAGAGCTACACACTGAGTCCATCAAAATTATCTTTTTGCACACATATGTGTATGTGTCTTAGATCTTGTTAACTTAACTGTCCTTCCACCATAAAAATACTTGAGAAATATGCAAGACTTATAAAAATTTATTTTTATATAAATTATTATTTGAGTTCATATAAAAAATTATCTCAATTCAAAAACCTTTCAAATACTACCAATATACATTAAGGGATTACACCAAACACTAAAAGGAAAGTATTAAATAAATCACTAAAAATAAAAAATATTTTTTGAGCAACTCATAGTAGTTTTCAAAACCAGAAAAGTAAGAGCTTTTTAACAGAAGTCCAAAAAGTGTCTATAGAATCTCACAGCTGAACTAAGATTGGTTGCCATAGCAAGAGATGAGTCTTAGGAAGGAATAGGCCTGAGAAACTAAGCAAATGTTTTTATTTTTAAACAGTATATTAGTTTACATGTATCCCAATTTTAAAAAAGGTTATAATCTTATTCAGATTATAATAGTATTTTATTTTAGTTAAGTAAAACACTTAGAATATTCTCATATAACTACTGAATGCAATAAAATGTACTCAAGCCAGAATGTCAACACTACTATTAAACAGTAATGATTGGGTTTCTTACATCGTAAAGGTCTAGGGAAGAAATCGGAAGTTTCATGGGAAGTCACAGATGGTGTCAGATCATCTGCAGAAGACTGAGTTTCCTCGTCATCACCTGACAATAGGTCTTTTGCTATTTCCTCCTACAAGAATAGGAATGCAATGCTAGAGTTAGAAATGATTATATCTCATCAATTCCAGGAAAAAAGTTGTCATAACATTATTCATAAACATTATGGTATTATGATACAATTAAGAACTAGCTGAAACCTCAGTTTTGGGAAAAGTAAACTTGAAATTCTCCTATAATTTACTTCATGTATATAATTACTTAATAACATTTACTATTTAATTATATACAATATTTAACAACTATACTATTATGTACTTACGATATAACAAAAAAATTGCCAAATTTGTGGGTATGCTGAGCACTTATCTGAAGATGCAGACTAATTTTTAGTGAATTTACAATAATAATCTTACTTCTAAGTGGTTAAAAGTTAAACTCATTTTCTGCCAACTAAAATAACTAAAATAAGAAAGTCTCCAAATTCCACTCTTCCAATAATTTTTTAAAGCCCAACTAATGAACCACTGACTAGTGATATAATTTTAAAAGAAACAGTTCTGAATTGATTTTTATGTAAATGTACAGTCAACCTTGTGCCTGGCACATAGTAGGAGCTCACTCTTTGCTGAATGACTATGGTCATCAATATCTGTCGTACATTATTATCACATTTGATTGAAAAGTGGGACCAATGTAACTCACAGGAGGAGGTTCCAAAATGTGGATTCCTCCTCTCCCTGCCTGAGATACGAAAGGCGAGGAAAGCTCCCCAGGGATCCGTCAGCAGAGACCATGACTGTGAACTTCCGTTGGCAGAGACTAGGCCTCCTCTACAACCAGCCTGTGTTAAATACTTATCACTGAGGGCTTGGCTGCTATGGTCGCTGTCATTCCCAGAGCCCAAGAAAATAGAATTTCTCTCCAACCACTCCACACCTAAGCTAGTTTGGTTTGAAAAGTTCTGGGAGATTTATTAACCAATGCATTCAAGGTCCATAGGCTCAAAAGAAGTTAGGGTAAAATCTAAGTTTAAATACAGTATATCTATACAAGAAAAATAAAAAGTTATGGAAGAATACTCAAATATGCAAAGTAATATTAAGCTATTACTACTTTAAAAATAGTGTGATCAAGGCTAAACAATATTCAAGCCAGTCACCAAAATGATAAGAGCAGTGGGTCCATAAGAAGTTTACAATTCAGAATTATGAAATGTGTAAGTAAAAGAAACTAATAAAAAACAGTTAATGGTAACAGAGCTGGATTTTTTCTTCTAAATGCTTGTACTTACTTTGTCTAGTGTCATATCTGGTAGTTCATCTGCAAGTTCACTTGGGGAGCTATTTGCACTGGAATTTGCAACTGCTGAAATTGTAGGTTCATAGCCATAGAATGCCAATAAATCTTCTAAAGGCATGTTTCCTTCCTATTCAAGCCAGAACACAAACATGAACTCAGTAGATGCCACAATTCTGAACCACAGATAAACTGTGACACCATTAATGTTCATAAAGCACATTACCAGAACAGCACTACCAATTCAAAACCAAATTTTAGTTTTGCTTTTTGTACTATGGCCATAAAACAGGATCAAACACCTAGAGCTATAATTAATATATGAACAAAAGCCTAACAATTAACTTCTTGAAGTTTTCATTTGCTAGCATCATTTCACTTTTTAAAAACCTCCCAAATACCTGCTTTAGTGCAGTTTTTTTTTTAGCTTTTACACTACTACAAAGATTTGCCTTGAAAACATTTCCAATTAATCAATCAATAACTTCATGTAATTTTTAGCTTGTTTCTTTGCAATTAACAGTTGGCCCCTAGGTTTATTCTCCATGTTAATTAGAAGACACCTAATGGGAAACATCTGCTAAACATTTACTAACACTAGTAATGTTTATATATTAATGTTCAAAACACTTATCCTTTGATATTCCTACTACTGTATCTATATTGTATACCAGCTGTTTTTTTTCCCACAACTGTCTGATGAAGTTTGCATTACCACCATCTTACAGATGAGGAAACTGAGTTCTGAGTTTGAATCCCAGGTCACCCAATTCACTTACCGGCTGTGCTGCTTTCATAAAATTACATACTCTGGCTGGAGTGCTGTCTGTGTTATGAACACTTAAGCCATGCCATATAGTGGCACCCATTGTTTCTTCCCTCCATTAATCTGAAAATAAGTGCTATATTTCCTTTTTTTAAATATTTTAATTCAACCACTAAAATACATAGAAATATTTATAACTATCATTTAAAATAACTTCAAGACCAGATAACCACAAACTAATTTCTTAACTATTTTAAAGATGTTTATGTCCACCTACTATTAAGAGATTCACTTTTAAAGCTTGCTTATGGCTTAGTTTTCCCTCTAAGAATCTAAGTCATGAAGCAAACAGCATGAAAACGTGAAGACAGAGCATGCAAAGCATGCCCACAACAGATCACAAAGTGAGCTAAGGATAGCCAGTGATGACTCCCAGACAGCCAACTGGCTATCCACCAGGGCCCACAAGGGACACAAGTTCTGGGGGTCCCAAGAATTGGCCTTTGCCTTTGCAGTACAGAGTTTACATTTTTCACTATACCTGAATGAAATAGTTCATGTTATGAGCTTAGGTATACGACAAAAATCCTCATTTGTAAATTTGCAGTAGGAGATAAGCACCTTTCCAATGACGGTACCCATCATGCTATGAAATCTTTTCAACTTGGGACTGAAATCAGTAAAAAGCTGCTTTGGGAGAACAATAAATTTAGCACAAATTTAGTTGGATAGTCAGGATGAACAGAAGCTCACCCATGTCATGGGAAAACCTCAGGAGTTAGTCTTCTCCCAAATCAAAGATCCCTTCAAAGGTGCTAGAACCACACTGAGAGTTTCTGCAGTCCTGCTCCTTGCAGAGTCCATGCAGTCCATCCCCTCCGGCTCACACTAGGTCTAAGAGGAAACAGGGTTGCAGCCTTTGCCAACCAAAATCTTAGAGTTTCAGATTCCCTCCATGAACTGGGGGAGATAGGAATTTTCACTCATCATGCACTGATAGTCCACTCTCCCATCAACAGAGCACTTACTGGGCTCTAGGAACTATGTGGAGGACAACCGGCTATGGATATAGAAATAAAACTAACGAAAAAAAGAAATCCTTGCTCTCAAGGAATTCAATCTTGATGGAATGAAGTGGTAAGTCAAAAATTATAATACACTGTGATAGCTGCAATAATCAGTTCTGGAATTGGTGCTATGAATTGGTGGGTAGAGAAGGGAAGACCTACACCCCAGGAATAACAGTATGTGGAAGGAAGTATCACACAGAGGGCAAAGATTGAGCTAAGTCCTGAAAGATGAAGAGGCTTCTAACAGAAGAGGGTTGTAGACTAGGGACATGTGGTTCGTCATCAGAAACACTGAGCAGTGACTGTGCCAAGAGGCCACTGTGCCTCGTGCTGGTACGAAACACAGGTCTTGCCTTTCTACAACTTACAGACTAGGGGAGAAAACGGACAATTCACAAACACATTACTGCCAATTATGAAGAGTGCAAAAGAAATAAATAGGGTCCTGAGACACAGAACAATATGGAGGGCCTACTTTCATAGTGTCAGAGGGGAAGACAATGAGTGACTCTCAGCTGAGGCCGGAAGTCTGCGAAGTGACGAATCAATCCTGTGAAGAGCATTCCAGGTAAAGGAAGCAACTCACTTGAGGCCTGAGGGTGGTTTTCCACTAAGCCAATGGCCAGAGCACAGAGAGTAGAATCAAAAAAAAAAAAACAAACAAACAAACAAAAAAAAAAAGAGGAGAAGAGAAAAACAAGCAGAGGAAGATCACAAAAGGCCTCATGGGAAACAAACTTGGGCTTTATTCCCAGGGCAACGGGAAGCCACTGGAGAACTATAAAAATGGAGTGACATAACTCTTTCTTCTTAAATGCTGGGCAACTGCATGAGGAAAAGTCTGAGAAGGTGGAGAGATAAGAGAAAAGCAGGAAGACCACTTAGGAGCCTCATGCTGGTTTAGAGTAGCAATACAGACATGAAGAGACGTGAATAAATTAGACATACTCTGAGATGGAATCAAATGGGCTCCTGGATGTGTACGTAAAAGAGAGAGAGGAGGACAACTCCCCAGATTTCTATTTGATCAACTGCCTAGGTGGTGGTAACTTTTACTGAGACAGAAAAAAACTAAAGGAAGGAAAGGTTCATGAAGGGAAAAATTACAGAGTTCTGCAGAGGACACAAGTTAAGTTTGAGAGGACTATGAAACATCCAAGTGGGAAAGTCATGTTGGCCAAGAGCCTGGAGCTCAGAGGATCAGGCTGGGCTGAAGATACAAATCTGGCATTCATTAGCATCTAGATGGTATTTAAAGCCACAGGAGTCGATAAGCTCACTCAGGATGAGAGTAAAGAGAAGGGGATCCATGCTTTATTGGAAGAACTTACAGATATATTACCCTATAGGCAACAGGATATGTCTGTAAGCTTTGAGGCATGATTTTGGAAGTAACGTTCTAGGAGTAGTGGAAGAATGAGAGCCTGAACTAAAGAAGGGATTTATCCAAGGGAAGTTAAGAAAAAATAATATGTTTCTTGACTCACTTGATAGAGGGAATGCAAGTGACACAGGAATCTAAGTAAATTGCCTATTTCTGGCCTGAGAAGGTTAAATAGTTATAACATCATTATGAGACCGAAACATAAGATAAGCTTAAGGGTGGGGGGTGGGATGGTAGATGATGATTTAAGGTAAAGTTGAAGCAATGGGCTTCAATGAGTCAACCAGAAAAGGCATATAGAGTGAGAAGACAAAAGCTAGAACCCTGGGGAATTACCATCAATTAAAATGGGGGTAAATAAAGAAAAGGCCATAAATCTGACAGAGGGATACACCAGAGAATAGAAGTAGAATTAGGAGAAAACACAGGATTACACAAGTTAAGGAAGAAGCAAGGGTGGAGAAACTACAATGATCACTGGTCAGATATCAAAGAGAGATCAAGCAAGATAAAGACAGACATGAAGTCTTTGTATCTGTCAATCAGGAATTATTGGTGACCTTAACAACCTGTTGCGAGAAAAGCTAAGGACTCAACAGGAGAGCAGAGAGTACAAACATTATAAAAGGAGAATGACTAAGGGCAAAACAGGGTCAAAAGAGAATTTCCAAATGTGGGAAATGTATGAGTAAGATTCTATACTGAAATAAAAAGATACATGGAAGACTAAGCTGAGGGCTGAAGGAATGGAATCTAGGGATTAGCCTGGGACGTGGCAGATACTTTTGGGATGGGAGAAAAGGAAGAAAGAATGAGTATAAAAGTTATGTTTACATGTGTGGTGCAAATAGGAGGTTCTGGGTAGTCATTCATGAAAATCCTATTTTTTCTATAAAGATACAAGTATGATCATCTGTTGAGGGAAAAGGTGACCATCTTAGTGGAAATCTCATTAATATATTCAAGGGAAGACACTGTAGGGTCCACTAGAAGAGGCTGGTGCTAAACACAGAAATTATCTGTACTAAAACTTTAAAGCAAAACTGGGAAAGGTTAATCTAGTCTTTGAAGCACTTTACAGTAAGCTTTCTATTGGAGCCTATTAATAAAGCACTTAGCTCTGTGAAGCACAGAAGAAATATTTTCAAAACTGAACCAGCAGATCTCAAAGCCTCTGAGATCTGTGGTGCCTAGATCAGCTTAGAAGTTTGCTCTAGCTCCTTGTCCCAGGGATGAGGATTTTTCTCTTCTGTCTGTTCCTCAGGTATTTTGTTGAACCTATCTAAATTTCAAGAAACACACTCGAGTCTAGGCACACTTATGAATGAACTATTTTATAAGTCAAAGGATTTATAACAAGAAGAGTACAAGATTTAGAGGCAGAGGACTCACTAACTGCTAACGTGGGCAAATCATCTAACCCTTCTCACCTCTATTTCCTCAACTGTAAATAGAAAAATATATTTCCTTAACCCTATGATGCATAGCCTCACATATCATAAATTAGGATGCATCCCATTACCAATGTACAGATTTCTCACAGCAGTGTTCCTCTATGTTCCCATTTATGCTATTTCTAAATCTATGGTAAATCTTACAACCAACAGGGCCTCTGAGCCAAGGAAATAATGCTAATACTTTTCTGACACACCTGGTGGTGTTGCTGGATGGGTCAAATGACACTGTCTAAGTGAGGTACAGATCAATTTTAATATAACACCACTCTGATATCTTAAAATACAGGCTGCAAAACAATCTACACGTAACTTTTAATGCTTTTAAAAAAAAAGGACCTATACCAAAGCCTAAGTGCTAGAAAAGGTGATTTCTACTTTTCTCATTTCACAATGAATATAAGAGGAGAAACTTATATATTAATAAAGGCAAAGATGTAAATTTTTTTTTAAACTTATAGGTCTAACTCTAGGACTATTAAATAAAACCCCTCAGGAAACAATAACATGAATAGATTAAATTACAGAATGATATAACATAAACCTTATTTTAGTACGTTTAATAACTAAAATCTTGCCACAGTCTGTTGTCTGTATTTACCAAAGGGCTACTGTAAGAAAACTGATTTTGTACCTCTCTTATTTTCCATAATATATAGTGTACTAAAAATGTGTAAGCACCAAAATAAAGGCCAATATGTATAGACTACAAACTATCATGTTTATTTACTATGGGTATAAAAACTAAAAAATTTTAAAAACAAACATTAACATCAAGCTCCTAAGACTATTACCATGTAACAACTAAATCACTGTTCCAACAATACAAGATTAACAGAATACATTATTTTAAATTGTACAGAAACAATTTTAAATTTCTTTAAAAATTAAATGATCCTTACTTTTTATTTGTGCCTCTATCTACTGTTTCTTTTATTCATTTTTATGTTTCATTAAACATCAATAAAGAACAGAGACCAAATCTACACAGTTATGTTTTACTACGGACAAGAATCACAGTTCAGAGGAAGTGAGCAGTCACTCACTCTTAGAAACAGCTCCTCTTGTCCTCTGCTCAGTGAGAAAATGACTAGCCTTCCGAGCGGGCACACAGCTCTTAGGTCTTCATTAGAATTTGTGTAAAAAAATTTTATTTTTCTGTCTCAATTTCCAAGAATGTGACAAAATGCCAAGAAGCAAAACTACCCAAGTACAAAGAAGATGAAATATTTAAAGGGCTATAATTTTTCTGAATCTACAAATTCAGTAATAGGTATCATTACAAAGCAAAGATTTACTAAACAAAATGAAAATCACAGGAATAGAAATTAGGTATTTCTGTGAAAAGCTAAGTGAGTAACTCTTTGCTGTTGTATATTTCTCTTTATCTTTCCTGATTTTCTTTAAAAATTCACTAAACACAGATCAAAGCAGCTATTACTATAATCTCTGCAAGAATAAAACCCACAAATCTGAAAAATAAAATTTTACCAGGCCATAACAATCCCTACCAGATTACCCAAGTAATAACAAAATGTATTAACACATTAAATGAAATTTTTAATTCTTACTAGTTTACTGACAGCACATCTATTTGCACAGCTAAAGTGCAGTGTAGCCCATTTATATTATTTTCTTATGTCATGCTACAACTAGACTGCTGTTTCCCTGTCTTTAACAGGAAACACATAATCAAGGAAGGTGCATTATGAGACCACCTGGGACTTCTGCCCATGCCCACAGCTGTGTCTTGACTGAAACAATTACAGGAGAGAAGTATCTAAGAAGCCTTCCATGAACTTCCACATGAGGCTAAACATCTTCTACTATACATAAACCCTTTCTCTCCCATAGCTCTCACTGCTTATAGCTTTCATAGCTCTTAGCAGAGCACATCAAAAAATCACTGTTCCCATTTGTCACTCTACCCCACACTAGACTGTAAGCTCCTAGAGTCCAGGGACATTGTTAAATTGTTCATTTCTGCAATCCCAGGACCTACCACAGTCTTTGGTTTAGTGATATGTGAGCTGGATTCTAATTCTTAGTTATTCTAGGCTACTCACTCATAGGAGGTAGAAAAGAACAGCCTGAATAAAGTTAAGGCAGAGCTTGAGACTCTTGAGCATCTTTTGTCAACAACAGGCAACATCTTATCATCACCCCTGAAAGAAGTGATAGGCAAGGCTTTTCTTCTTGAGAATTTCCTAATCATTTTATCTCTATATTCCCAAATCTGTTAGGCTTTTATAGGAGATAAGTGTATTTTTTTAATGATTGAATATAACTGCAACTGTGTTGGATTAATTTGCCAAAGGAATGAATGTCTTTAGAAAATTTCAGGTCTACAAAGCCTGGGGTCTAGGCCCTAAAGACTCTCCTTCTGTTTCCCTGTGTATTAATATGAATAAAGAAAGGCAATAATAGCCCAGTCCTGCCTCACAAAGATAGCAGAAGAGATTAGAAAAGAATATGCTTTGTCTTCTTCAAGAAAAAGAGGTATGAAACTTCAGTGTTATTCCTGAAAACTTTTATTACTCTGGGCTGATTAGAAATTTGCAAATAAGGTTAATTTATAGATAAGTATAATCTTTTCAAGGGACCCCTATGGAGCTCTCTCTCTGTAGTCCAGGTATAAACATGTGTTTAAAATCCAGTTCATTTGAATTTATACTGATTTGGGTTTTAGAAAGCCATAAACTACATTTACTCTGCCAACTTTTTAAAAGTCTGGTGGGTAGGAAATAGGTTATTACTGATTCACATTTAAAAACAGAGTAAAACTTTTTCAATTTTCTTACAGTAGCCTACCAGATTACAAGTCTCTCGAAGGAGAAGATTTCTCATTATATCTACTCAGTGCTTAGTTAAACTCAAGTTTGCCCTTCAGTAGAACAGTGTGGTATAATACAAAGAAGCAGGGCTAGGATTCTGAATTAAGTTTAGGGCTAGGATTCTAGAACTAAGTTCTCTGCATCTCAGTATTCCCATCTGTAAATGTACCTATTTCAAAGTGCTGGTATTAACTTAAAAATTAGGTTAACAGATGTAAGTTAATTTCTTAAAAGTAAATGAAAATGTACTCATTAGGCTGTCCTTCAAAATAATGAGAAAAATCAGCAACATTCTGTATAAGTTAGGTCAAAAACAACTATACTGATACTATTCTTTTTTAATTGAAGTACAGTTGATTTACAATATTGGTTAGTTTCAAGTGTACACAAAGTGATTCAGTTTTTATGTGTGTGTGTGTGTGTGTGTGTGTATTCTTTTTCAGATTCTTTTCCATTATAGGTTATTACAAGATATTTAATATAGTTCCCTGTACTATACAGTAGGTTCCTCTGATACTATTTTCATTTCAGGTAGGTTGTAAAATAATTTACAACAGAATTTTAAAATTTTATATACTGTAAGTTTGTATTCAATCTTTAAGTTTGTATTAAAATACTAAAGTAAAATTCTTTACCTTTTCTAAGTCTTCAATTTCAGAACTGAAGTTTTTACCCTCATCCATCATTTCTTCTTCTTCAAGAGTTCGTTCATCATCATAATCATGGACCAACATCTCAGCAGTGGGGTCAAAATCATGATCCTCAGATGACAAAGACCCAACTGGAAGGAAACAATCAATCACTTAACAGGTTCATAAGGCTATTTACAAAAGAAAATAATTTGTGTTCTACTGCCAGTTCCTTTTAATATTTATATCTAAGCTTTATTAAATGTATAACCTGTAAAGTATATTTTCTATGTAGTTTATAAAGTTAAGACCACAAATTCCTGAAAAGATATCTAAATCAGCAAAAGAACAAGGCTGCTTTATAACCACTTTTATAAGGTGTCCAGTCCATGAGAACATGACCTATAATAGCAGCAAAGTGGAGTGGTCCCTAAAAAAATGTTCTACTAGAAAAGTCAAAAGTCGAATCAGTTAGTTTAATACATTTGTCTAAAAGCAGTAGAAAAATGTCAGAAGGATTATGAATAGAAGATTTCACAAGAATCTGTTATACATTAAGGCAAAACACTTCCGGAAAAAGGGAATATAAATTTTACTCAAATCTAACCCTCAAATAAAGGTTCGAAACAAAACAGAGATCTGGTTTCTAGAACAAATGCAAGTTTTGTGAAGCAGCTACATAGCCATTAATCTTCAAAAGCACTACCTCACTTACCATTTCTGTAACAGTATTTCAAGCATCTCAGCATTAAACCATAAGAGCATGTTTTCTTTGGACTACTAATAAAATTCTTAAAATTACATGAAGGGAACACAGAATCTCATATCTGAAATTTTGGGAGATATATCCCACTGCAAGTTGTTTTGGTCAATTCAAACTTGTTTATAAAGTGGTAATGCTTTTTAATGGCAAATCTGAAGTCAACAGGATACCCTGAAAACCAAATGGAAAGATGAATGCTATCCATAATCCCAAGAGAATGAAATTAAATTTATGAAAAACAGTATTTTCTCCATTTGTTTTACTCTAGTATGTAATTCAATTAGACCAGTGACTCTCAGAGCAGGGAAGGAAAGAAGTATCAGAATTGTGGAGTGGAGGAAGGGAGAAGTGGAAGGAAGCATACTGGACACAAAAAGTTTGATCTGTTTTTAGTCAAGCAATTTATTATTTTAAAATTTCAAACATTTAAGGACAGTGTGAGATCATTTCCAAAACACTGAACTAGACCAAAGATTTTTCACTACGACCAAAAAAACAGACACAATTCAGTGTTTTTGATTCTGAGTCTGGAGAACTCTAATCATTAGTCCTAAAATTAATAAAATTCCTATGAGACTTTATTCTTTAGAAGGTTTACATTATGCTATTTTTTAAATGTTTGAATATTAACCTGCTCATTTTAAAATCTGTTGTGGTATAGGTGGTTTAAGTTAATTTTAGAGAAAGATGAATATTTTTTAAATAGCTCAAAAGCAGAACATCCACCAGTGCAAATTTTCATTTTTTGAGAAATTCCTGGAAACCCTTGAGGTATGCCAAAGCATAAAGTATGAAATACACAGTAACTCTTCCACTTTTTTGAGGACAGAGCTCTACCCTCTTGTGTAAGAACCGTATCACTTGGTACACTTTAAGGCTTCCCTTAAAGTGGAAGGTATTCATTCAATAAGGGCCAGAAATGCAAGGGCCTGAGGGTCTACTCTTGGCTTTGTCCCTGGCTTTCTGGGACCTGAGACAACTCATTCAAACTTTGTGGGCCTGGGTCCAATTTTGGATTTGTACATAGACAGTGTTGGCTTGGATGACCTCTAGTCTCTTCCAGCTCTAAAATCCTCTTTAAAAATGGCTAATTGATTAAAAACAAGTTACAAGTTTGTTTAAACGCCAAAACCACACTGTCTTTTTGCTTTTTATTCAGAATGCAACTTCTGAAAAGCAGACAGTGATGCAAAATGGAAAAATTCCACTATCATCCAGATGTTTGGCATCATGTACATAAATTTTCTTTCCCTAAATTCAGTTATAACAAAGAAATGTTTGTCTCAAAGTTAGAGAAACTTTTAAAAATAATTTTTAAATGTAAAGACATAGCTATTTTTAAAATAACCACAAATTTCTTCTACTTGGTATTATTTTATAATATCTTAAATGATAATCAAGAGAGACCTTAAAGGTTGACTAATACATAAAGTAATATGCAAGGAAATGGACTGTTCACTCTAAGGCAACATGTGGTAACAGACTTGGGAGCCCATCCAGGCTCTGCTATTAACTAGGTGACTCTCAGTAGAGTTATTTAAATGTCTCCTCAAGTGTAAAAAATAAAGGAGTTGAACTAGTTCAGAGACACTTTTCCTGAAGACTATGAGAGGGAAAAGGGGCAGCCAAGAGGGGGCTGGAAAGGGGATGATAAAGTGAAACAAAGCTGTCCTTCCATTTTAGCACACGAGGATAGGTCTTTCCCATAGACAGGTTTCAAAGGTTCCAAAAACCCCAAATTATATGAATTATGCATTATATGCAGAGTTCTGGAGACAGAGTCCTTTGCTTTCATCAGATCCTGATAGTTGGTTCTGACACCAAAACAGTTAAGAAACACAGTCCTAGATGATCTAGTGTTGTCTCACCTCAAAAATTCTATTATTACCACTTTTCTGTGCCAAACTCAGAAAATCTGTGCTTCTTTTGATTAGGGCAGCTTTAATTTTCAAGCTTCTTTTGATTAGGGCAGCTTTACCTAACTCTCAGTTTTCAAGTTAACACGATCTACAGACATTTCTCATATATGAAGGAAAAAAAAGACAGACAACGTAAGTGGAAATGAGGAATCATGATTAATAATCAACATAAGCAACCCCAAAATTCTGACAAATCAAAAAGTCAATTTCTCAAAAAAATTAAAATCTAAACTAAATTGCTAAAGTTGGTGGAAAGTTTGAGAAAGATCTGGGATTAACTGTTTCAGGCTTAGAGAAAAAAATGAGATATGGGAGAATTAAAGATATACTACTTAAAAAGAACATTTGTCAGTTAGCAGCTTTGTAACAAAGTATTTTTTTCAACATGCAAGAAAAAAGAGAGAACAGTATAACCCGTTCCTTCCTCAAACAACTTAATTACCAAAATGTACACTGAAACTCTTAAAAACAAATGATGAAAAACTCCCAAGACAAATTTTTGTGGGAAAAATTTATCAACAGGTCTTTTAGCCCCCATTACCCTTTGGGACCCACTGAAGAGGTAAGAAAATAGTACAAACCTGGGCTCGAACTTCCAAAAGAAGCCTAGGAGAGAGAAGAAAACGTGCGGTTACATCGCGCAGCTAGGGGAAGAGGCAGCACCGGCAACAGGGCGCAGAGGAGGCGGAGCCCAGCGCTCCTCCGCAGCTGCCAAAAGTACAAGACGTAGCTTCGCTCCAATCGCTCCCGGCCCCTTTCGGGCCCCTCTTGGCTGCCTCGCTTTCCTCTTCGAGTCCCTAGTGTACAAACTCGCAGACCCGGGACGGAGCCCGGAGTCTAACAGGCAACTCTAAGCCGCCCCTTGGCGCTCAGCAAGTTACAAAGCCGAGAAGCTGAACCCAGAGTAGTCGGCTCGCAGCATCGGTCCCCAATACCCCGACATCTCAGGAGTCCCCCAAATCCCACCTGGCTCTCCACGGCCCCGAACAACACCTCGCAATGCAACACCCTTTCCTGAAAGGGACTCGCCCTCTGGGCACCTAGTCCACCCACCTGGGGCCGGGAGCCCCAACTCCAGGGCTGTCCTCTGCCCCCGAGCATAGGCCAGCTCGCAACCGGACACTCGCCCCCAAACCAAAGCGCAATCCTCCCGTGCTCTTCCCCGCGTCCGGAGACCCGGACCCGCAGTCCTGTTGATGCTAGTTCCTTCCAGGATGTTTAGTCCTCGGGCCCGCCAGCGAGCCCCTCGCCCCAGCAGACTCCTGCCCAGGGGCTTCTGCTGCGCCACCCCCTCCCCCCAGCTCACTAGTCCCTGGGGACACGGCCAGGGCAGCTTCGCTCGCCCTGCCTCCCTCCTTCAGCCCAGAGAAAAGTGGGGCTACCCAGAGCCCCTGGAGAAAGCGTCGAGAATCTTGGTCCTCTCTCTTTACCCCGAAAGGACCCCGGCACCTCCCGGGCTGCGGGGCGGGGAGTCCCGCTCGCCTCTCACGAAGCCCAGCGGCAGCGCATCCCGCTCGCCTCGGCGCCTGGAGCAAAGTGGAGCTTGTGGCGCCTTCGCGCCGCAGTCCAGACACGGTGGGCCGGGGGCACACAACACTCCTGCAGGGCAGTGGCGCAGCCCGCTCCCCGCTCTGCAATCCGGGCGCGGAGTGGGGGGAGGCTCGGCCAGTTTCCACCCACCCCAGCC